GGTAAGCGGATGGATAGCTCAATCGGTACAGCCGCGGTACGGTATTCCGATCGGGGTCCCGGGTTCGAGTCCCGATCAGCCGGCACATTTTTATACTCCTCCGCTATATTGAAATGGGTACAGACAACAATGTGAAATTAAACTTTGAGTTTATACCATCACGGTATCCCCTGTTGCGCCAAATGTCACAAGGCGAGAAAAATATGCCGTCTGGCCGGGACACAAACCCGATAACCTAGGAATACAGTATCGCGGCTCTACCGACTGAGCTATCCGGCCGCTTATCACACCAATTCCCCTTAATAGTGATCAGTTCTGAACCGTGACATACTAGTTAATACATGTATTATGACTCTCAATTTTTTTTATTTTAACATAAAAACAAATTAGATATTTTTATCACTCTCAAGTTTAAGGATTTCGCCTTATCGACAGAATATATGTATTATGACTCTCCAGGGTTGGGATTTCAACATATATACATTATAAATGTATAATGTCTCTCAAGCGTTGGGATTTTAACGTCTATATAAGATATTTTTATAATGACCCTCAAGTGTTGGGATTTCAACATATAGACAAGATATATGTATTATGTCTCTCAAATGTTGTTATTTCAACACAGAGACATGATGATTGTATTATGTCTCTCGAGTGTTTGGATTTTGACGTCTGGATAAGATGTTTGTATTATAACCCTCAAGTGTTGGGATTTCAACATATAGACAAGATATATTTACTCTGTCTCTCAAGTATTGGTATTTAAAAGTCTTCACAAGTTATTTTTATATTGACACTCAAGTGTTGGGATTTCAACAAATAAAATAGATATAAATATATATATAGAATTATATTAGAATAGAATAGAATTATATGTATTATGTCTCTCAAGTGTGTCTCTCAAGTGCTGGGGTTTCAATTTCTAGACAAGATATTGGTATAATGTCTCTCAAGTGTTGGGATTTTAATGTCTGGACAAGATATATTTAAAATGTCTCAAGTGTTTGGATTTTAACATATAGACAAGATATTTGTATTATGACTCTCAAGTGTTGGGATTTTAACGTCTACACATGATATTTGTATGATGATCCTCAAGTGTTGGGATTTCAGACTAGAATATAGACAAGATATGTGTATAATGTTTCTCAAATCGTTTGATTTCAATGTCAAGATAATATATAGATATGTATTTTGTCTCTCAAGTGTTGGGATTTAAACGTCTACACAAGATTTTTTTATATTGACCCTCAAGTGTTGGGATTTCAACATATAGACAAGATTAATGTACTATGTCTCTCAAGTGTTGGGAATCAATATATAGACAAGATTTATGTATTATGTCTTTCAAGTGTGGATATTTTAACGTCTAGATAAGATATTTGTATTATGACCCTCAAGTGATGGCATTTCAACATATATAGACAAGATATATGTTTGATGTCTCTCAAGTTTTGGTATTTAAAAGTCTTCACAAGTTATTTTTATATTGACCCTCAAGTGTTGGGATTTCAACATATAGACAAGATATATGTATTATGTCTCTCAAGAGTTGGGATTTTAACGTCTAGACAAGATATTTGTATAATGACTCTCAAGTGTTGGGATTTCAATGTCTAGATAAAATATATGTATTATTTTAAAGTGTTGGGATTCAACGTCTTAACAAAATATTTGTATAATGACCCTCAAGTGTTGGGTTTTCCACATATAAAAAAGATATAAATATAATGTCTCTAAAATGTTGGAATTCAACATATAGATAGGATATATGTATTATATCTCTCAAGTGTTGGGATTTTAATGTCTAGACAAGATATTGGTATAATGTGTCTCAAGTGTTGGAATCTTAAGGTCTGGACAAGATATATTTAAAATGTCTCCCAAGTGTTGGGATTTTAACATTTAGACAAGATATATGTATTATGACTCTCAAGTGTTGGGATTTTAACTTCTAGGCAAGATATTTGTATGATGACCCTACAGTGATGGGAATTCATTACATGTATATAGACAAGATGTATGTATAATGTTTTTCAAATGGTTTGATTTTAATGTCTAGACAATATATATGTATTTTGTCTCGAAAGTGTTGGGATTTCAACATAAAGACAAAATATATGTATTATGTTTCAAAATCCAAATGTTGTTATTTCAACACATAGACAAGATATATGTATTATGTCTCTCAAGTGTTGGGATTTTAACATCTGGATAAGATATTTGCATAATGACCCTCAAGTGTTGGGATTTCAACATATAGACAAGATATGTTTACATGTATTATGTCTCTCAAGTGTTATGATTTTAATGTCTAGACAATATATTTGAAAACTGGTTCTCAAGTGTTTTGATTTCAATATATAGACAAGATATATGTTTTATGTCTCTCAGGTGTTGGGATTTAAACGTCTACACAAGATATTTGTATATTGACCCTCAAGTGTTAGGATTTCAACATACATACAAGTTAATGTATTATGTCTCTCAAGTGTGGGGATATAAACGTCTACACATGATATTATTATATTGACCCTCAAGTGTTAGGATTTCAACATATAGACACGATTAATGTATCATGTCTCTCAAGTGTTGGGATTTCAACATATAAAACAGATATAAATATTATATCTCTAAAGTGTTGGAATTTCAACATATAGATAGGATATATGTATTTTCTCTCAAGTGTTAGGATTTAAATGTCTGGACAAGATATTTCTAAAATGTCTCCCAAGTGTTGGGATTTTAACATGTAGACAAGATATATGAATTATGACACTCAAGTGTTGGGATTTTAACATCTAGACAAGATATTTGTATGATGATCCTCAAGTGTTGGAATTGCAGCATATAGACAAGATATATGTATAATGTCTCTCAAATGGTTGGATTTCAATGTCTAGACAATATATATGAATTATGTCTCTCAAGTGTTGGGATTTTTAACGTCTTGATAAGATATTTGTAAAATAACCCTCAAGTGTTGGGATTTCAACATATAAACAAGATATATGTAGTATGTCTCTCAAGTGTTTGGATTTAAACGTGTAGACAAGATATTTCTATAATGAACCACAAGTGTTGGGATTTCAACAAATAGACAAAAATATATGTATTATGTCTCTCAAGTTTTGGGATTTCAACATATAGACAAGATATATGTATTATGTCTCTCAAGTGTTGGGATTTAATGTCTAGACAAGATATTTGTATAATGACCCTCAAGTGTTGGGATTTCAACATATAGACAAGGTATATGTTTTATGTCTCTCAAGTTTTGGGATTTAAACGTCTACACAAGATATTTTTATATTGACCCTCAAGTGTTGGGATTTCAAAATATAGACAAGAATTTTGTATCATGTCTCTCAAGTGTTTGGATTTTAACAATAAGACAAGATATTTGTATATTGACCCTCAAGTGTTGGGATTTCGACACATAGACAAAATATATATGACATGTCTCTCAAAAGTTGGGATTTCAACATATAGACAAGATATTTGTATAATATGTCTCTATGGGATTTTTACGTCTGGATAAGATATTTGTAATATGACCCTCAAGTGTTGGGATTTTAATATATATACAAGATATATATACTATGTCTTTGAAGTGTTGGGATTTTAATGTCTAGACAAGATATTTGTTTTTAATGACCCTTTCCAGTGTTGGCTAAATCCAACCCTTGAAAGGGTCATTATAGAAATAGGCTTGGCTTAAACGTCCCAAAATTCCCCAAACTTGAGCAAGACATAAACAATAAATCATGTCTATATGTTGAAATCCAACACTAGAGCAACATAATACATAAATCTTGTCCATTTGTTTTGAAATTTCCAAACTTAGAAGACATTATAGAAATACAATTGTCTAGAGGGGGGAGGGGAGGGGTCGGTGAAATCCCAAACACTGAAGACAAAATTACAATAAATTTGCATCTATATATTGAAATCCCAACAATTGAGAGACATAATACATATATCATGTCTATTTGTTGAAATCCCAACACTTCAGGGACATTATAGAATTATCATGTCTTGACATAATAATCCAAAGACTTAAGATATATAATACCAGTGATTTTTCTCACTTAATTGGAAAAATCATCGCTAAAATTGCTGATTTGGGAAGTTAAAAAGCTGGTTTAAGTTCAGATTTTTGGGAAAACTGCATGATTTTAAAGAAAATTTCAATTGGGAAGAGGCCCTTTTTCGGAGTCTGTTATTTAAGTAGATAAATCACTGAATACATATATCTTGTTTATATGTTTAAATTTCAATACTTGAGAGAGACAATACATATATCTTGTCTATTTATTGAAATCAACATTTGACACTCATTATACTTATATCTTGTCTACATTTTGAAATCCCAACACTTGAGGGTCATTATAGAAATATGTTGTCTAGACGTTCAAATCTCAACACTTTAGAGACAAAATGAATAAATCTTGTCTATATGTTGAAATCCCAACACTTGGAGGGACATTATAGAAATATCATGTCTTCACGTAACAATCCCATTACTTAAGAGACATAATACATATATCTTGTTTAAATGTTGAAATTCCAACACTTGAGGGACATTATAGAAATATCTTGTCTAGACTTTAAAATCCCTGGACTTGATAGACATAATACATATATCATGTGTTAAAATCCCCACACTTGAGAGACATAATACATATACCTTGTGTCTGTTTTGAAATCCCAACACTTGAGGGTCATTATAGAAATATCATGTCTAGACGTTAAAATCCCAACACTTGAGAGACATAATACATATATCTTTTTTATGTGTTGAAATCCCAACCCTTGAGAGTCATTGTAGAAATATCTTGTCTACACATTTAAATCCCAACGGTTGAGACACATAATACATATATCTAGTTTATACGTTAAAATCCCAACACTTGAGGGACATTATAGAAATATCATGTCTAGATGTTAAAATCCCAACACTTGAGAAATATAATACATATATCTTGTTTATATGTTGAAATCCCAACAATTGAGAGACATAATATATATAACATGTTTATATGTTGAAATCTAAACATCTGAGACTCATTATATAAATATCTTGTCTACACGTTGAAATCCCAACACTTGAGAGTCATTTTGTCTTTTGTTATGACATATCTGGGTACACATTTGAAATATTATAGTCTATTTTGAATCACAGTTCAATTATTGATTACTGTTTTATCAAATTGGATTTAGAGTTGTCTTATCTTGATTTGATTTTTTTTTAATTTTAATAGTTTTAACGTTTCTCTTTATTTTATTTTCAAGTCTTAGATTATTCTTCATGTACATTTTTTTTTATTTGATCGACTGAGTTTAAGACTTTTAGATTAATCATGGCGTATTTTATATTTTGTAAGTCTATGCATATACATGTATTAAATATTTTTATTACTTTTTTGAGTTTAAAGTCATTGTAAATGTATATAATTCTATTGTAAAGCGCCTTTGGACATTTTATTTTTTGAGAAGGGCGCTATAAAAATGTGGTAATTATTATTATTATTATTTTAGAAATATCTTGTATACACATTAAAATCCCAACACTTGAGAGACATAATACATATATTATGTCTATATGTTGAAATCTCAACATTTGAGACTCATTGTACATATATCTTGTCTATTTGTTGATATCCCAACACTTGAGGGTCATTAGAGGAATATCTTGTCTAGACGATAAAATCCCAACACTTGAGAGACATAATACATAAATCTTGTCTATATGTTAAAATCCCAACACTTGAGAGACATAATACATATATCTTGTCTATTTGTTGAAATCCCATCACTTCAGGGTCAATATAGAAATATCTTGTTTACACATTAAAATCCCAACACTTGAGAGACACGATACATATTTCTTGTTTATATGTTGAAATCCCAACACTTGACGGTCATTATAGAAATATCTTGTCTTAACGTTAAAATCCCAACAGTTGAAAGATTTAATACATATATCTTGTTTATATGTTGAAATCCCAACAATTTTTAGGTGGCATTATATTTACCACTCTTGAAAAATTCGCTTAGAAAATACCCTTACGGTTTTTAATGTACTTTCTGTCATTTTTACGCTTTACGCTCATTATTCACACTGTTGACTGTGCTAGTATTGATTTTTTCAAGAATGGTAAATATAATGCCACCTATGAGTCAGAGAGGGCTGCTGAAGAATTTCAAGATGCTTTAAATCATGTTATAGAAAATGATATGAAACAGAAACTAGCTTCAGCCCGCGCCATTTCTCTAATGTGTTTTGAGAGTGATGTCATGTTTCCGTTCAGAGAAAAAGTTGGTCATATTTGCTAGGTTTATTCCTGAATGCACTGACTCTCAGTCTGAAACTAATTTTATTGAGAATGTTACTATTGATAAGGGTGATGCTGAAACTGTGTACCAATCATTGAAATCTGTGGTAAGTGAAAAGGGTATAGATTTTAGTAATGTAAAGTTTTTTGGCTCAGATGGAGCGGCAGTTATGACTGGTAAAAAGTCTGGTGTTAGTGCTAGGCTTTCAAGTGATCGGCCACTTATTGTTAACATTCACTGTATGGCACACAAGCTAGCTTTATGCACAAGTCAAGCAGCAGAGAGTATTCCATATATATAAAAAAAAGTACAAGGAAATTTTGACAAATATTTTCTACCATTTTAAACATTCCTCACTGAGAACTGCAAATCTGTCTAAAATTGAAAGTGTTTTGAATGACAAACAGCTAAAAATCAAGGAAATTCACAGTGTACCCTGGTTTGCATTTGATTCAGCCCTTGAGGCAATATTTCACACATGGGGTTCCTTAGTTACTTATTTTGAGTCAGAAAAGCAAGCTGAGAAAGGTTGAACTGCAAAAGGGATTCATTCTCAGCTAACCCAGTTTGAATTTGTGGGTGTAACTTGCCTTTTAATGGACATAATGCCAATACTTACCAAACTGGCCCCAGTTTCACAAAGAATCTTTGATATTGTTTTGTAACTGGAAACAATATTGTTATATACGTCTTTGTCTATTTCGAAAAATATATGTATTCATCCGTCATTCGTGAATTTCATTTCCTTTTTTTTTGTCTGAAAATGCTAAGGTAAATAACTGTATATAACGAAAAAATAATTTTGTAGTAGCTTTCAGAGGGAAAATTTATATTTTTGTGAGACTGAGAATATAGAAACATTGTGTGTATAATCTACTGTATAGATGTATTTTATTTTAATTTTTCAACCAAACTCTTTATGAATACATCATTGAATTTGCAAAAAAAATCATTAACGTAAATTTAAATTTCTGTATTAATACAAAATATCATTCATTGATAAATTAGTATGTTAACATGGTCTGTATCTCTGATTTTAATATCAAATGTATGTTTATTCAAAATATTTTACAAATAAAGGTCAACAGAAAAATTAGTGCAGGATTTACATGTCCAGGAAGTGCCTGATGTCCGCAGTGAAGTTTAACAGTACAGGAGGTGTTTGAAGGAGACAATCTTATTGATAGGTAATATTTATGATTGACCATTTTTATGAAGAATGGTTTCCAGAATGAAAAAATCAATACTCAACTTTAAAGGCATTAAATCAATCCGGTACATCGTATCTCCTTTTAAATGTTAATTCTAACAAAAAAAATGGCTTCACACTATTCCCCTTTCAAACAGATAGGGCTGTCAAGTGCATTTATTACATGATCTATGCATGCCATATGACATCTGTGTACTTCAGCAAAGTTTTATCAATTCTCTTTTTATTAGCATGTTTGAATGGACATAGATATAAGTTTTTCTTGTAATGTGGTATAATAATGCACAGTTTTCATTCAAATGCTTTGTAATTAATAACACAGGCCTATCAACCTTTCATGTTTATATTCATGTGCATTTGAACTTGAACTGTGCTTTATTCTACACTATTGCACTCAAAATTGATTTTAAATACCCGGAGCATATAGTAATTGAACAACTTTTCAAGCTGTCTTAACAGACTGAGGTGACATTATAGTGGAGTTTCAGATCCCTTGGGTCATGGTCAAGGTCACTGTTGTTTTATAAAGCCTATGTCTATAAACATGTCCTTTTTTCAGTAAAAAAAAAATGTTCTATGTATTTGCGTCACACTTTTATAAATATTATCACCACGCACATCATCCTATCATATATTAGAAGGTCTTTGATAGTGATGGGATATCAGTTGGAGAACTGCGACTGATTGTCGGTTGGAATCGGTTAGTAAACCGATAATTATGATATATCAGAAAAATAATTAGTTAAATGTTTTATACATAATTGTCTATTCAGATATTTTTGTCTTAAATGTAACTGTTTTAAGTTAAATTCTAATGATCCTTTGAAAAAGTAAAGAAATTAAGCATATGTTATTTAGCTGGTTCCAGGTTAGCATAAATTTGTTTAGTAATAACTATAATGAGTTGCAAACTGGTAAAGCTGGGAAATCACAAATTATAAATTATAATCTGGTGTATACATAGCTGGCATTTGTTAGAATTGACTTTACTTTATCAAATCTTCAGTTTGATACTTTTTTTATGAAAAAAAAAACATACTGTTTAAAACAAACAACAAATTTCAAACACAGAGATAGTCGACATCTTATTTACAATTATTTGTTATCTAGACATTTAGCAAAGAACAGCATTATTCACATAAAAATCTGTCTTACACTTGAACATTGAATATGTCACTAAAAAAACAAGTTGCATATAAAGTTCTTTCAACGGATACGGAAATATCCCAGCATTTTTGTCCCTTGTTGACAGATAGATTCAATCAAACATAAAGTTTTAAAATATGAAAATGTATCAAAGTTTTCCTAACTCTTGGGAACTTATTGTTTAATGCTATGGGCACTCCCATATCGACAGCTGTGCCCAACTGTATTATGTCAATTTTCATTTGATAATTGCGATGAAATAATACTGCTTCATTAGCTGACCATTTGGTGTTTAAAGCATTAATCATCTGATATTTCAGATACTTTAAACTTGTGGACTGGCACAGGTTCTTTCATTAGTCATAGTGGGGACAATATATTATCAAAACATTACACAAACAAAACTTTTGAGTTCCAAAATAAAATGCTGAAGTACTGGATGGGAAATTTGAAAAGATTCCAATATATTGTATTTGTACCCACTATACGATAATATACTTGGAGAAAAATACAATCAATTATCGGAATCAGTTGGGCTTTTCTAATATTTAATCGAGTATACCGGCTTATCAGCCCATCACTAAGATCTCATGATGAACCATTATTGCCTTGATTAAAGGATAAATTGTGTAAGGCATGGTAGCTGTCTTTCATCATCCACCTGTTACATATTGATATAAACATTTTTTTTACAAAAAAACATTGAAAGAAAAAGTGAAATACCATGTACTTTGCATGCAGAATTTTTATTTTATTTCATGCTTAAATATATAAGTCTGTAGTTACTTGTAACATGTATTTAATATATGCTATTAACTTATTTTTTCAGCAATAACAATACATTAAGCTATGTGACACGTGGAGAGAAAACACAAAACAAGCCAAAGAAAACAAATATATCAGCTAAAAGAAGACATGAAGACAAAGAAGATGAGTTGTATTTACTGGAGAAAAAGAAAGTACAGGCAGAAATTAACCAAATTGAACAAAAAACAGAACATGATAAAGAACTTTTCTTACTTCAAAAAAAAATTCTAGAGAAACTAATCAACCAATTATAGATATCTTTCAGTCTTGTTGTATAACTGAAAAGACATGTTGTGTTATGCCTTCAGTTGTCTATCTATCTGTTAGTCTTTTTGTATTATCTTTTTAACTTTTCTTGTTTACACCTAAGCAATATTCTTGATGATATTGTAAAATATTCATTCCAAGTTTAATGTATATTTCCTACCAATGTGTTGTTACTTCAATCATATGATAAATCAAAATAAATAAGATGCTTAAAAAATTAATTCACAACAGTAAAACATCACTTTTAGAGATGGTATTTATTAAGTTTTGTAAGTGTAATAAAAACACATCACTTGATTTTTCATTCTTCTTCTTATTGCACATGAAAGTTCACGATTTAGGTATATCTTTGAATCCATGACTTTTTTTCTTTCTTTTGTATTTCTGACAAGCAAAAGCAGTAAATAAGCTTATCTCTTGTCAACATTACTTATGCTGTTTAACACTAAGATTTACTATAGATTCCCTAAACATTATAGACATAGGGGATATTTGTTAGTTTTGCATGTAATATTGAAATATATTTCACTGAGTGAACACTAGATGTCATATTTTCATGAGTGGCGTAGCTGGTGTTCACGAATGAAATATATTTCAATCTTATATGTTAAGCAAATTTATTTTCTTTTTATTTCATGCTTTAAGAATTTTTACTGATTTTGCCGCATAACGTCGCACACTTGGTATAATTGTTATAATTTACTTATTTATGTACAGATTTGATTGAAATTTGATCAAAACAGGACTTGCTACCAAAATAATTTAGATTTGACCTTGACCTTTTATTGACCTTTACTCTCAAGGTCAAATTAATGAAATTCTCTTGTTTTTTTTCTGTAAATTGCACTAATAACTTTGTTGTTTAAAAAATTTGTTTAAAAATGTTATTTAAAAATGGATTAAATTCATATAAAGACATGTTATCTTTTAGATAAGGGCCGTCATGTTTATAAAACTCAAATTGAACTTGACTCATGTATGACATTGACAGTCAACTTATTTTATTTTCAATGAATATTGCTATAATGGGCTGTAACTTTGTAATTAATCAATGGATTATTTTCATACTTTGCCAAAACAACCTTTTTGGCAAGCCAATCTTTAAAAAGTTGAATTGACCTTGACCTTAACCTTTAAATGACTTTGACCATCAAGGTCAAATTATTGAACTTTGGTTAAGTTGTCATAATTTTGTTGATTCATTGTTGGAAAACAACACTTGTGACAAACAGACACTTCGAATGATTTTGATATAACATTGACCTTTAAATCACCCTGACTGTCAAATCTTTTTTTTATTATATTTTCTGAACTTCTGCATTTGTTTACGGAAAGGATTCATATTGGACAAAACAACAAGTGTGACTAGACAGACCTATTGAAATTAAAAAAATGATTTTTTTTTCTTTAAGTTTCTTTTAAAAGATTTGTTTGAATTGTTCATTTATTTGCTCTTAGAAAAAGTGATAAACTTTAGTGTTTCCCTCACCCAATAATTGCTCTTAATTTCAATGATTTATTTATTTTGGAGACTGTGATCAACTCTTTTTACCTTTGAATTTATCTTGGTATACATAAATAGAGGATATTGAATGAGTGTAGTTTAATACTAAATTTATTGAACAGTTGAATGAAATCATATTATGCAAGCATTTTGCGAGCAAAATATTGTTTGATTTAACATTTTCAATAAATTTTGTATAAAATCCATACGAATAAAATATTCTATTTATCACATATATAAAATAAGAACAGTAAACTATGAAAATGAGTAATTTTTCAATGACTCGCCTATAATGTAACGCTAACATTAGCGGGCTTCAACGCTATATTATATATACCGCTAACTACGTCACATCAAAGGATTATAACACTAGTGTAATATCGTTTTTATTAAATGGCTTTAATACACTCCTGTGCCGCGGTTTATGTGATAATGTCTTTTAAAGGGAGACACAGGCAAAAGTTCTTTTCTTCGATTTGAATTCTATTTGTACAAAATGCTTCAAGCAGTCTTAAGATGTAAATATACTTAATATATTTTAAATGTTATTTGTTAACAAAAATCAGCCCTTAATCCTTTTGTAAGATATTAAAAATGTTATGAATTTGAATTGCTGATTTTTTTATGCATATCAGACTGAATATGTAAGAAAAATTGGTGAGCTTAATGTTGCCTCTATATAAACAATTTGATGACGTTTTATCTTGACTTTAACTCTTAGACAATCAATTATATCTCATTGATACATGTATGTTAACATCATCTGATAGATCAGTATAGAATTTGTATTGGCTATGATGATTCTAAATCTGTGATAAACTTTGTTGCTTTCTTATTTACCTTGCTTTACCAAAAATTAAAGATTAAATGGAATATAAATGTTCAAGCTATGTTCTTTTTATTTTCCATGACTGCTGTTTTATAAAATAGAATAATATCAAATGATATATGTAGGTACAGCATAAGAAACATGCATCCAGATTATTACAGCTACTGAGAGAATTTGTAAGCAAAATGAAACAGAAATTTTCATATGTACCAATTAAATTAATACTGAAAAGATTTTACTTTCCTCATTATCATATTTAAATACTAATTCAATTTAACAGCTTTTAACTTGAAAGATATGACTGGTAACTTGTTTATTTTCTAAAGTGGTAATGTACTTGTATTTTGTACTCATGTGTATGTTGTCTGTCATTTACAGCAGTAACATTAAGCAACATCTTGTCTTCAACAACAAGACAGATTTTTACAAAAACTTCACAGGTGCGGTCTTCATTAATATTTTAAGTTGTTTTGATCCGTCATCCCCTGGCCCCAGATATATGAAACTCTACCGTTGAGACGGTCCAGTGCCCTAGACCAAAGAGGGACGTCTGGCGCCTCGGCGACATTGGCGCCCAACATGGGACCCACGAAGATGATGACAATTAACGCTGCCGGGCTTGTCTTACGGACGTCTGTAGAACACCATAAAGATCCTTTATTTGTCGAAAGATCCTATAGAAAGGACAGGTATACCCAAGCCCCCATTTAATTAAAAGAGCTCAGACATTTATTATTGGCCGGCCACCTTAATATATAGTGCTAATTGATAGCACATATTATCTTTCCTTGATTCATTAATCCTGGAATCAACCGTTAACTTTTCAAGGAGGATCACCGGAAGTTACCATTGTTTACATTTTTGACAGTTGACAACCACGTGTTCCTGTGTTTGTAAACATTGAAACTGTCATATTCAGTGTGTAATTGATATAGATATATATCATTCATCGTTTTAAACGATAGAATTAGCCGACATTATTTTTTTAAAGAGTTTGTGAAAATAAAATGTTCATCATTTTGATAATATTATTAAATGTATGTTTTATTGTATGTATTTGTTTAAAAAACAAGAGTTGTTGATATATTGACCAATACACAATTGGTTTGTGTCAATATTCATTCTGTTGTGCACTGATTGATTTTGTTTGCTCAACGAGTACTTGGATTCACTATTTATTTATTATTGTGTGTTGTCTTACTTCATCTTTCCTTCCTGAGTCTATACTAATTTAAGACAAATAAATAAACTAAATACCAAATAGTAACCTATATTGACCCTGTCCTATAATAATAAGTATTATAGGCTTGTTAACCTGGTTGGTTTGGTGTGTGTTTATAGATAAATATACATTAAATATATTTATCTATAGTATCAAAAAAAAGAACTTAAAATTACTCTGCTTATCAAAGATAGCTCAGTGATTTTAAGTAAATCCTGAAAAAAAAAATTGTCGTACAAGAAAATTAACAATCTCGCAAATTCATTCGCGACGCGACTAAATAGCATTTTATACATAAAATGATATGTCTTTGAATGAATATGCATTCAAATATCATTTTTTGTATAAAAGTTGAATATTCTGACGTACAAACGGTTAAACAATTTTCGCATCAACGCGACACCACAATAGCATTGATAACATCACAAATATAATCATATAGTGCACACATGCCTCCGTAGCGTTTTGGATAGCGACAGCGTTTGTCACCTAGGAGAATCGAGTTCGAATCTTGGTAGAACCTCACGGATTTTTTCCGACATTAATAAATTGTTCATGCAAAACACAAACACTAAAATAAAATAAAAACTTAAAAAAAAACATATCAAATTAAAATTCATATAAATACATATAAATAAATTTATACATATAATAAATAAACTGTAATACAATAATATCATATTCACATTACAAGTGTACAAAATATATACTGAAAGGGAAGTAACAAATATAAACAAAACCCATATAAACGGAAAGAAGTACATTGAAAGGAGGAATAATAAAAATAAACTGTTGAAGTTTAGCGAAAAGGAATATATGAACGAACTTGTGTTGTGCTTGTATTTGAATAACTCACAAATAAAGTGAAAGGACATTTTCAAATACGCGACAAGTAACTTTGAATATTTTGTTTTGCCTTGAAAGGATGTTTGAAAGAAACAGATAGAGAATAATTATTGAAATAAAGAGAAAAGGATAGTTGATTTGAAAATTGAAAGTGAAATATATAGTGAAAGGGACGGAAAATAAAATTTCATTTTTTGAAATTTGTGTAAAGCAGTTAAGAAATAGGGGAGTGAAGTGAGTAGAGATATTGAAAGGAACGAAAAGTGAAATTTGAACACAGGGAGTGAAATGAAAGAAGTGTAAAACACGAAACGTGAAGATTACAAATAATCAAGTTAAGTGGACAGAGATAGTAAAAGGAACGAAAAGTGAAATTTGAAAACAGAAAGTGTAGTGAAAAGAAAAGGGATATTTAAACGGAAGTTACGTTTTGAAATTAGGGTGTGAAATGTACAAAGATTGTGAAAACACGGAAAGTGAATTAAAAAGGAAGTAGAGAAAAGAGCGAAAAGTAAAATCTTGAAATTATCAAGAAAAGAGAAAAGTTGTGAAAAACATAAAGAGTGAATAAGATATTATTAAGTGAAAGGATGAAATGTTGTGAAAACACGGAAAGTGAATTTAAATAGAAGTAGAGAAAAGAGCGAAATGAAGTTGTGAAAAGCATAAAGAGTGAATAAGATATTCTAAAGTGAAAGGATGAAATGTTGTGAAAAACACGGAAAGTGAATCAGAATTATATAGTGAAAGTGAATAAGATTGTGAAAGATACGAGAAGAAAAATAGAAATGGTGAAAAGGGAGGATAATCAGATAATGGCTGAAGGAAATTTACCGATGAGAATGAGAGAAGGTACAAGAGAAACATCTCGACAAAGTGGAAATCCCTTATAAGAAAGCGGGAAAACTGAAAAACAATTTAAAAAGAACTTGAGGCTAACAGATAAGAAGAGGAACTCAGAAACCGTTTAAAATATAACCTTGATAAATGAGATCTAGAAGGGCAAAACATTCAAATACCGAATAACACTAAATGTTAGTTTGATTTTTGCATCAATGAAAATGAACGGGATGTTTTTAAATACATCTAGACAATCAAGTTCAGAAACTTAAAATAGTGATGTTCAAATTAAATAGTAATGTCGTCAATAGAACAAACTGGGTGCACACAAACCCAGAACGAAGAAGAACATGATCCTAACAGATATAATTACTTAATGCATTCTGGTGTTGTAATTTTAAAACAAGTAGATGATAATAGATGGGCAAAGAAATTTCATTACAATAGAAATGAAAAGGCTATCAATACCTCCAGATAGGATAAGCTCTGATATAAGCCAGAGGCGGAAAGTACATACAGACATTCTTAAAGAGAGAAAAGAACGTTTGGATAGAGACAAAGGACATTCAAAAAGTTTTGATACAGTGATTAAACATGATGGACATGGGGATTGGCTTAAAGCACGAGTGGGATATCAAACACCATCTTATTCAGAAAAGCAAATAAACAAGTGCATAGATACTACAAAAGGAACAAAAACACAAGCAGAGTATAAAGATGAGGAGAATTATAGTTTGCCAATGAAAAGTGGAAGAAATAGACGTGTATCAGATTTAGAATGTATGTTTGAAACAAAAGAAGAGAGAAGTATAACTTCTGAATTTATGGAAGAAGAGGAAAGAAAATTGTCTTTGATCACAGATAGAAGGAAGGAGTTGCAAGAAATGATAGAAATGGAAAGATTACAACAACTGAAGATTGAACAAGAGAAACAGAGAAAAATGGAAGAAATCAGAGAACAGAAAAGGGTTTTAGAACAATACGAATTGAGGTGCAGAGAATTACAATTACGTGAAAACAAATTAAAAGATTATGAGAAGATGATAGATTCAAAGATGGAACGATTGCATCTTATTAGTGATACATTAGAAAAAGAAAATATTGAACGCAAAAGAGAAAATGATGTATCTGTAACTCTTAAGAAGAAATATGAAGGGATGAGAAGAAGGGAGATGGCTATTGAAAAGAAGGAAAAAGAGTTAGAACAGAAAGATTATTTGTTGGAAAAGAAAATAAACTTACTGAAAGATTGGCAACATGAAGAAAGAGAAACAGAAAGAGTTCCTCAAAAATATGAATCGGACATTCATGATATGATGAATGATTACTTAGAGGAAGGATTTCATACATTACCACGGCAAAGCAGTAATGAGATACATACATTTGGACTAAAGTTAATCACCAGTCAATTTTCAGGGTCAGATCCGAAACCAAGATCCGAATCTTCGTTAGAAGAATGGAAAAGAGAAATTGAGAGCACCATTGCAACAAAATTGTACAAAGAACATGTAGTTGCTCAAGCTATTAGACAATAGTTTAAGAGGTCAAGCGAAGAAAGTGCTGATAAATCTAAGTCCTGTGGCTACACCAATTGATATTGTGTCTCGAGTTGAAGATATCTTTGGCGATCTTTCAAGTCAGCAAATTATATTCACTGAATTTTACACAGCTGAACAGAAACCAGAGGAATCAGTTGCAGAGTGGGGTCTTCGTCTGGAAGAAATTCTTCTGTTAGCATCAACAAAAAGGTTCATTCCTGAAAAAGAAAGAAAAGAAATGTTAAAAGATAAATTTTGGAGATCTTTATATAATATAGACATTAAGAATGCAACTCGTACTAGTTTTGAGAGCAGCGACTCATTTGAAGTGTTAAGGAGAAAAGCTAGAGCTGAGGAGAATGAAATAAAGGTTACAAAACAGAGACGACAAACTGTTCAGCATAATCAAATGTCAACTGTAGAAATTGACAATAAAGAAGACATTATTAAACAACTTATGAAGAAAATGGAAAACTTAGAAAGGCAATTAGAGGAAGTAAAGAGAGAAAAAGAGAAACCTAGTAGATACGAGTAATCAATACAGTTATGGAGGTAGAGGACAGTACAACTTTAGAAGGACAAATAATTCCAACAATGTTGGAAGAGGATAT